TCCTTCACTCACGTCACTTTTATCATTATTTTATTGCTCATGTTTTATAATCACTTTGCAGGACGCGATCGCGGTTGCTGTAACAACGAGGCATTCTGCTACAAGCCAAGTTTTAGCCGAAAATGCACCAATAAAGACGTCGTCAAACGAAGACTACGAACGAATATCAGATAAGTCTGAGTCATCTTCCGATGCCGGAAATGCAGCGCAAGAAAACACTGAATGTGACCTTCAACCTTCTCAAACTCACCATGATTATCAAGAACTTAATATTGATGCGTTATCGTCGAACATGCAAGACTACCAGGCTCTATATAGGGCTATGGGGGACAATGTTAGACGAGTAGAATTTCCCCTGCATATCCGCAAATATGAAGCTTTAAACTTCGTACATAACCCTCAAAGTTCTGAATATCAGAAACTGCATCTGTATGCARATATTGAGGATAAAAAGTAAGATCACGTGYGGATATATTGTCAGGTGGTTTGTGATGTTTTCGTTTCGATATGTTATTCATCTCTATCTCGTGTCATAGCGTGGTGTTTTTTCCCCACTTTTGACAACTTAAATACACTCAATAAACAATTTCCAATAAGTTTGGATAAATATTCAGTTTTAAATAGTCGTATTTACTTTTGCTACGAAATGAAGCATATTGAAATGAATATATAAAATGCACGTATCCTGTATCTTATTTGAAAAGGATTCCTTTTGTCAATTATTATCATCAATATATTATTCACGATATAAGTATAATAGGCGGATCTTTCTAATGAAATTATGAACATGAATTCCTTTTGAATTCGATTCAAATTCACCGCTATGGTCGTTATATATTTCATGATTATGTGTACCTGATAATTTGTTAGAACTTATCTAGTTACTTAATATTATTAGTACAATGAAAAGTTAAGAATGATTTTGGTGCATGTTTAGGATCGTAAAACTTTCATAGGTTTAATATAGCAAATAAAATACTTTATACATCGAGTGCTCGGCAGAGATTCGTTGCTCAATAAACAAAAGCATGTTTTTTGCCGATGATTTTAGTTATTAGAATAGAGAATGTGAATTGAAAGATAAACTAGGTTAAAAAAGAAGTGGACATGAAAAGGCAAGACAAGCAGAGAGAAGAATTACAAAAAAAATAAAAATAAAAATAATAAGTCCCTGAGAATTGGCTATTATATTATAGAAAGTGAAAAAAAAAAATTTATCTGCTTGCACTTTCTAACTTTGAGTTCTTATGAAGTTACAAATATCTTTGTAAGGCTGGCCATAACTCTGGAACATGAGGTTCTCGACTCGACATCAGCTTTTCTATTATGTAATCCTTTTGATAATAATTGGAAATTATGTCAAAGGTATTGAACTATTTGAAATTTATATAATATTTCCTATTGTACATTGTGCTTTTATTAGTAGCTATTACAAATACTGAGATGTGGTTTTTTTCTTTGAATAGGTAAAACTCGAATCATTCAAGCTCCACCAAATCCTCTGTACGTT